CGTTATGGAGTTGGAGTCAATTGCCGGCAGTGTACACGCTCGTCGGGGGCCTGCCGGCGGTCCGAAACGGCGCCATCAGCGGGTCGACTATTGGAACCGGCTCGGCGGCGCGGCGCCCGTCGCCCGCCGGTGAGCCGACACGCCGAATTCGTCGCAACTGCGCCAGACGGGTGGCTGTCGACAGCTGGTCCCAGTGGGCCCCCACAGCAGTGTACACAGAGTCGGGTCACGTCCGCAAAAATATACTGGCCACTCCGGCGTTACGATGTCCAAATTTCAATCCAGCCGAGCCGTTCATTCACTTCAGAATAGCTGCCATCGCGCCGGGCAGTTTGTAACATATCTCGCGGAACTCATTTTATCCGCGCTGAAAGATACTGACGGTGAGAAACAGCCCCGATGGTTTTGTTGTTTTGAACTGACCCTTTTTATTGCCTCCATTGATAAATTTCAGCATCGCAATAGGGTAAGTACCATTTGTACTTTTTTCAAGTATGTATTAACGAACGATCGTGACATGTCATCACAGTCACTTCACCGCGACCCGAGCGGCCATCACAGCGTCGTCGTTGGCTTCATCGAAGAAAAACCGCAGTACCATTTGTACTTAGTTCAATGACATAATTCACTTGAATGGGTGCCTACTTAGGGATAAATTTAGACATGAGGCTTTTGAACCAGTGTTCGCCACGGGCCCCAAAATCCCCAGCCCAGCCCGGCCCGGGCCCATGGGTTCAGAGCCCGGCCCAGCCCGTAGCCCGCTCTTGGCAAATATGTCCAAGCCCAGCCCGGCCCGGCCCGTCAAAAATAGCAATCTAGTTATTGTCTTAGTCTATTGCTATAATAAGCATGATTGATTACACTATTTTGAGAACAATTCAAATTGCATGAATATTAACATGGCAATCATGACTCCCTTCTTTTCAATGAATATAATCATTTCAAGTACCTATGGCACAAATCTTAACAGTAACAGCAAGCACCTCAGTCAATTAGGTCATGATTACACACCTATAAAAGTTCACATGATTATATTAACTACATTCTATGAGTAAAGTTATCTTGCAAGCTGATGTGTGAACATTATCATGCATAATTGGTGACTCTAATGCATACTTGAAGGAAGTATTTGCAACTTACTCTATACTTCCCAGCACTTACCAGCAGAAAAAAAGCTTGACTTATGGGAATTGATGAATCTGTCTGGGATTGACCTTGCTGTTAAATTCACTCCATTGATGCTGCAATATCAAAAGCCTGAGAAAGGATACAAAATAGGTGACACTAGCTTTAGCACTGTCTTCCAAAAAAGAGAAAATCCATTCATTTATCAGCAAAACTGATTTAATCTATTTTCAATTCATGCCCACGTGTCAACCGAATCTCTGTGGACAACTATCTGCTGCTTTCCTTGCTATTTTATGTTAGGCTCTTTTCAAGATATGGATATCGCTAGCAGCGTATGCAGAAAACATGGTGAGCTTGAAATGTCATTGGGTACTTTTGCGACTTTTACGCATCATCATCATCAATTGAAAATGAGCGAACACTTCTTGATTGTCGCAGCTGCGGCAGGTAGCGATTCTGACCAATTGTATAATAAAACATATATGATCAAGTTTTTATTTTGTTTTTCGTTTGAGTTTTCAGTCTTCGTGATTTAGGTTTTATTTTTTATTTGTTTTATTTTGTTTTTCACCTTGATACTTACTTAAAAAACGTATTTATTTGATATACTGTTGTGTATACTACCTAGTTGCCGCCACATAAACATAGCGCCATGGATCGCAAATTTTGTTGAGAAGGGGCTGGTTCGTTGTTGTTGTGATTTATTTTGACAAATTTATGGACATTTAACTTTTATTAACAAACTAATGATGCTAGAGATTCTCTGATCTTTTTGGTTGCGGAATTTTTATGAAAACCCTCCTATGTGTGACATGATGTAATATTGGATAATTCTCAAGATTCCCAAAATTCAATATCAAGTAAGTTTTCTTTCACATTGCTTAAATTTGGTTTAGTTTTAGTATTTTCCCAGTGGGTTTTGTTTGCATCAGTTTCCAAATTTTCTTAAATTGACATTAGTCGCAAAACCCATAGTCCACAAAGCTCTTGGCCCGGCCCGTCCATAGCCCGTTAACTAATGATATTTGGGGGCCCGGCCCAGCCCATAGCCCAGCCCGGCCCATGGCCCGTTGGGCTGGCCCGGCCCGTGGCGAACACTGTTTTGAACTTCTTGTGCACTTGGAAAAGTGCTTCGTATATTGCGTTGTAAAAAAGGTCACTTGGAGACTGTACTCGTAGCTCCCAGGACACCAGTTGCCTCACAAATTGACCTAAACAGACAGAAAGGGTTCGCTGCTGGTCGGAGGACGTCCTTCCTGGTCAGAAGAGCACGTCTCCGATCAGGAACTCAGCAGGCGAGGCTGTCCGGCCCACGGCACGCTGTCACCAATGTCGGCGGGCCAGGCGCGCACACGCGTGGGAACGGCCACGTGCAGAAGTCCGCGTGCTATGGCCCGTAACGCGGCAATGGCTGTCCCCAGGAGCTAGCCATTGTTGTCGCCGGGGACAGCCGGCCGGCGAGACACAGCGCCGATAGTTGTCTGTCGCTCTGCGCGCCTCCCGCCTTTTGTGACAGCCCGGTGGGCGTGCGGTAGTCAGGTACGAAGTGTCTGTCTGTGTGTGGGTGGGTGGGGGTGTTAGCGCGGACTGAGCGCGGCACGCTGGGCAGCGGAGGGGCAGAGGGCAGAGCTTGAGATGATGGATATCAGGCGGATAGCGCCGCCGGCATGGTAAATGGCACATAAAGTGTGTTGGTGAGCGGCCGCCGCCACTCGAAGCTGACCTAATGGTGCGCCGGGAAACGACCATCGGCCGAGGGCCGCGCGGGGATGAGTCAGAGTGGCACGGGAACCAACGGACACTCCAGTAGCATAGGCATAACATGGTTCACTGCTCCCACGTAAATATTAAAAAAAAAAACAAATTGAGTACGGGTTGTTGATTGATTTCTATTGAAAGATGTACCATCACTCAGTAACTTAAAATAAAGTAGGAAAATTGAAGTTTTTCATTTTTCCTATTGATGCAGGCATATCTTACGAAATCAAATGAATTCATTATATGAACAAACTTGTTGGATAGCCTTTGTTGGTTTTTGGTAATTGTAGGTGTGTCTTCAATCTACTATCTTGCACTGTGGCATTCCAAGCATTTAGGTACTTACCAAACAAACATTGCGATGTGAGACGGCTTAAAATTCCAAAACGCTACAAACTCAAAAGCTCAAGCACAATAATTGTAGAGCGCCATACTGTCTGCGGTTTAAACACGATATAAAAGTGTTCCACCTTTAGTGGTAACCTAACCGGATTGACACAATTCGTGGCATCAATAGCCTCTCTTGCACAAATAGCAGCCACCGGCTGACTGGTTTCCCGCTCGCACGCCGCACTCGGGGCGTCTGAGAGGCGCCATCTCTATTTACTGGGGACGGGCAATTAGCGCGGAGACGGAAGTGATTTGCAGTAAATAGCGGCTCGTAAATCGGTCTGCCCGTTGCGCCGCCGCGGCGGGCGGCGGGCACATTTCATCCATCATGCATGCTGCATAATCGTATGGCAGATTCGGACCGGGCCGGGCGTCATCGGGCCGGTTTACACGGTAAGCTCCATGTGCCGGAGAATGGCCGGGATCAGGCGGCACCCGCCATCAGCGTACCCGTGATGGGCCGTACGGCCGCTAAAAGTGTATCGTATCCCGTAGCACAGAGTTAATGAAGTGTCAGACATTATAGACACTCTGCCGACCCATGCCGTTATCATTCAATAAGAGGCTGGTGGGGTTTATGCATGGCTCTGTTCTGACGACGAGTATGGGGACTGTTAAATACTGACTGAATTCCAGTTAAATACCGGGCCGCAGTCGGCAGCGTGTGCATTCCACCGGGGAGATGTTTTGCATCACTCAGCGTTGAAATGATGACACGCTATACAGCTATCTCAAGTGGGCAGTGCTTCAGGAGCTGGTAATGGTTGTGGTGTACTCATAAAAATATGAAAGAACATCTAGCATTTTTCTATTGCTACCGAAGAGCCCAACTGTCTTTGATCTGGTAACACATATTATAGGCTAAATCAAAATCCGTCTTGAGACCAGAAGAATCACAGCTTTGAATCCAGTAGTATATCACTCAGCACATTTCTGCTAGAATATGATGTGATATATTATCCATCATGGCACGTTTGAAGCCACATTTCTAAAAAAAATGTTCAAGTCAAAAGACATTACTTCACACACTTCACCCTATATTGAAGAATGAAGTCCTTAAAATGTTAGTACAAATAAAATATTATTTGAGTTAAAAAAGTTGATCAAATTCAAGTATATTTATGCCGCAAACGTTTTCCATAACGTGAAAATATAACAGCGTATTTGCTTGCTTGATATGCTCATCATCAGACTAAGACATGCTGGATTGCAAGCTGAACAGCTACGCCGTAAAGGTATTCCAAAGAGGGAATCAATTACCATCGGCGCAAGGCGGATATAAATCATAATCGCTCTGGAAACATGCACATGACCAGGATCTGCATCAAGTATAGGTGGCCAAGCTTTGTCGGCGCCATTGTCCTCCCACGCATCGTCTTTTCTCTGTTTCGGTGTAACAATCCCTCCTTCCCGACCTTATTGCCTTTCTATCGCCTCGCGTCGCTTCCCATCGGCGATGGCCTTCCTGTTTCATCTGGCTCAAATCTTACTTTCTCACCGCCATTCAATCACACCGCCCCATCGTATCACTAAGCTGCTTCATGGCGATGACCCATAACACCTTATCAGCTCATCACTCGACGATCCCTTGCGAGCTGTCCTCGTCCTCCAGTCGAGGACGTCCTCACCTCAGCTCTTCCCGTCCTCCACCCACCTCCTTCTTCGTCCTCACCTCCCATCAGTCACCTCAGTGGGTCCCTCTCCGCCACCGGGTGCGTCCTCACCTGGTCTCGACTCCCTGCTGGTCCATGCCCGCCGCCAGTCCGTCTCTCTCCCTCTGTCAGCACTCGCCACTCGCGCGGTGCACCGCTCTGCTCGAGGCACCGGTCGCCGTCCGGCGGCCTCCTCACTCCGCGCGCCGCGCCGCCACACTCGCCCCGGCCCGCCGTCGGAGTACCGGACGACGCCGCCGACGGTCGACGCTGCCGACGCGACGGCCACCGACGGCACGTCGATACGCACGGCGACGGCGGCGGCGGCCAGTGCCGGACGGAGGCGCAGGGACGGGACGTGCGCCGACAGGGCGCGGGTTTGTGATACAGTTAAAGAAGCTCTAATTGGCATTATACTTGCTGTGCATTGCATTTTCTACTTTCCAGCATATATTTGGCAACTATTTTGTATTAGTTGAGATATGCTTACAGTCCACGTTTTTACTTTTTTGCGCAGTACAGAAGCTTTACGTAAGGTTCCCAGTAAGTGTTCTTTCACATTACAACAAAACTAGTTTTAATGCCATTGCTTCTTGCGTAAAAGTAAATAGGGTAAATGTTACATTATTGAACACATCAATATCGAGTGCCAAACGAGTCAAGGAGGATAAAAAGCAGCAAATACGTGCATACGTGCCACCTGTATACTCAAACCCTTGACACTGACGGTTTTCAACAGTAAGATTTATTTGACTCCCATAGTGTAAGCACTTTCGCTTGTGTCCATGCCAATAGTGCAGTCCATGGAGAAAGACGGAGCACAGACGTTCATATTTCAGCTCACCACAAATATAAACACGCTGCGTATGCATGAGTGCCTTCTTGTGCATGCAATATGCAGGCCCGTATCCCTAGTTCTTGATATTGAAAGCATGTGGCGTCATTCATATGCCAGGATGATATATGTGCGTCGGTTATGTAATAAAGCTTGGGAATGACCATGCATGCTAAGAAGATCAGAACGATTGAGGAAAATATGACTATGGCGAATCGTTGACATGCTCTGCTTATTGGAAAGGAGTACTTACACGTCAAGGTCAACGTCTACCAGCTTTTTTAGTACTGTTTTATCTGTCACATGCCATACACATGCACAATTGATGCTTGCATGCAGGTTGCAATATCAAAGCGTCTGGCAGACTGGAACAGACGAGCTGCAGATGACGGATGGAAGGTCACGGACTGGAGATGGCATGAGGCGAAAGACTGCAATCGGTAGACGGCATACGGTAGATGGCAGACGGTAGACGGTATATACGGTAGACGGCAGACAACAGACGGTAGACGGCAGACGACAGACGGTAGATGGTAAACGGCAGACGGCAGATCGCTGACATTGGACAACGGCGTGTAGTGTACGATGGCCGGCGGCAGTAGTATACGCTCGACGGCAGTACGCTCGACGGCAGTACGCTCGACGGCAGTAGTATACGCTCGGCGGCAGTAGTATACGCTCGGCGGCAGTAGTGAGCGCTCGGCGGCAGTAGTGTGCGCTCGGCGGCAGTAGTGAGCGCTCGGCGGCAGTTGTGAGCGCTCGGCGGCAGTAGTATACGCTCGGCGGCAGTAGTGAGCGCTCGGCGGCAGTAGTATACGCTCGGCGGCAGTAGTGAGCGCTCGGCGGCAGTAGTATACGCTCGGCGGCAGTAGTATACGCTCGGCGGCAGTAGTATACGCTAGACGGCAGTAGATACGCTCGGCGGCAGTAGTGTGCGCTCGGCGGCAGTAGTATACGCTCGGCGGCAGTAGTATACGCTCGGCGGCAGTAGTGTGCGCTAGACGGCAGTAGATACGCTCGGCGGCAGTAATGTGCGCTCGGCGGCAGTAGTGTGCGCTCGGCGGCAGTAGTATACGCTCGGCAGCAGTAGTATACGCTAGACGGCAGTAGTATACGCTCGGCAGCAGTACGCTCGACGGCAGTACGCTCGGCGGCAGTAGTGTGCGCTCGGCGGCAGTAGTGAGCGCTCGGCGGCAGTAGTGTGCGCTCGGCGGCAGTAGTGTGCGCTCGGCGGCAGCAGTGTGCGCTCGGCGGCGACGGCCAGCGGATGGGTGAGGCCCGGGCGTTATGCGCCCAGCGCTGCGTTACATCCGATGCGATGTTCACGGCTGGCTGGAGGCCGTTCGGCCCTGTCCGTGTCCAACGCAGCGTCAGATGTGGGGCCGATCCCCGTCCCCGCCTGCCTAATGCGTCATCCCTCTTCCGAGATAGCTCTGCCGCCGCAGCCGGGCCCCACCCCTCCCTCCAACTCTGCACCTCCGTGGCCGCGCCTCACCAGCTCCGCCGCCCCTCCTCCATCACGCCCTAATGCCGCGCCCCTTCCTATCGCGCCCAAACACGCGCACTGCATATTTGGGGGAGAGGTCTGTCCCTATAGGCATGGATGCATTTGATTTTTGTGGATACGTATGTCGAATACAAAACCGAGGGCCTTCCGTTTTTTTTTTGTGCTTTGAAACCATGCGAAGATATTTGAGTGCCCACATCTTCGTTTCTAGTGATTGCAATTCGTTCTCAGCACCATCTTTATTTGAGAACCTCTAGTGTTGCCTTCTGGTTGTTTGCTGTTCTAAAGGAATGCGAAGCCAATAGCAGGGCGTTTTTGTCTTGACTGCCTTATCGAATATGTAGTGAGATCTCCTTGGCTCCATTTCGAGTGCACTTCTGTGATGCTCTCAATGTCGAGCAGAGTTGGTATCTCCGGGATGCTGCCTTTATTTATTCATCGGTCAGAGTCCCGCGACACACGACGTCCTTCGGAACGTGCCTAGTGAAGTGCGGCTGAGCTGAGCTCGATCTCTGCGGCACGCTCACCTAGAGCCTGCTGTTTGTCCGCGGCGGCTGGCCGACAGACACTTTTGTTGCTATGATCGGAATGGGACCACCATGCTCATGATTTGTATTGTGCACCCGCTGGGATTGGCAGGATGGACGGGCTGGGATTATCGGAACTCTCAGTGGCGCCGTGTGATGGATTTTAGACACGTGACTAGTAGGTCACGTGCGAGGTACTGGAGCACGTATACTGGAGCTGAGGGACGTGGTTGAGCTCGAGCACGTGACTGTGGATCAGACCGTGTGGGTAAAGCAGGCCCCGTGTATTCCGACTTTGGACTCACTGCTGTGCTAGATTCAAATGCAAAAGACGGTCACGTATAAAAAAGGAGGCAAAGTTCGCTCACAATGCCACAAAATATATTCAAAGTTGTATTTAACATTCATGAGCTGTGTGGTACCGTTATGTTTCACCAGAACTCTGATCTCATTCGGTCGTTTATTTGTATTGTTGTGATGCTCAGCTATTCGTGTGTTTCAAGGATTAGCGATCAGTTATCCAAACATCATTTAGGATTGATTGTCACCTCGCGATTTTTATGATCGACTGCTTACTAGGGTGCATCAAACGCCCCGATGTCTTCAAATCGATCTGTCTGTGGATTCAATTTGTTCCACTAGTAGCACAATGACGCTGTGCAAAATTAAAATCACATCGGATGTCATCTAGGGGGTCCGCATCAGCTATGAACATGCTTCATCACTTAACCTCCCCCGATGGAGCGGGTTGGCGCGACCACTGCTGTTTTTGTCGCGATGGGTCGAAACGCGTCGGATAAGGGAACTTTAATTTGGCTTAGCTGACCTTTGATACTTAAGCCTGAACATTTGGTATCTGCTGCATTTTGATATCAGGTCAGGTCAGTGACCTATGACGTCATACACGAGCTTCTCAATAGTCTAAAAATGTTGTATAGCTTCGCAGCGCTCTTGAGTCGGGGAATCTTTCGCAGGGAGATGGAACTTTCAGGAAGTCACAAGCTTTTAAATTCTTACAACTTTTTACCTCAGATTTTCTTTTTCGTAAAGGTCGCCTGAGGTCAGGTCGGTCACGTGACCCCTCCGCTAAAGCTCCGTGGGTAGATGCAGGAACTGCTCAGTTAGTGCCAAATATGATCCAAATTTGTTTCAGGACTTGAAATCCTATTTTTGTGCCCCGCTTCCGTGAATTGATGCCTGGTCTGTATTGAACTTGGACCTTATGACGTCGTTTGACATCACTAAGAGTATTTGAGATCATCGATCGCGAGTTTTCCTCAACAACCCCTTACCAAATTAAGCACGAAATAATAACTATAGATAGTTTCAGCCTGGCACACTGATACACATCAAGAAGTAGGACTTTAGCTTGGAAGGAAGACTGGGACAAATCGCTTCGTTAAGCTTCAATGATTTAACCGAATTCGTTGGGTTTAGAGCGGTTCTTGCATATTTTATGGTTTTGTGATTCAACAACATGACATTGACACTTCGATTCTGGGCTCGCAGAAGACGTACACCATAATGATACACCATAATGATCTCGCCGATATAAAGTCCAAAATTCCTAGTCGACCATGGCAGCGTCAAAACCAAATGGAGTTAGTTTGTCACGCATGCAGCCCTGACAATGCCGGTTTTAGACAAACTCATGTTGAAGCAAATGTTAACACCGATATTATCGGTTTAGAGTTACTCGTATTTTGTAAGCAATTCGTGAGCAATTCTTATGTAGTTTGATGAGCACGTTCTCGACGACAACTAGAGTGAGCCGCTCTTCCGTCGGTAATTGTTCGTCGACCTCGGGATGGATTAAGTCCATGTTGAGCGTCACAAGTCATATTGGACTTTCATCCTTCACAGACAGGTGTATGCGACGTTGTCAACGACCTTGCGGTTTCAGTAGCGACGTCCAAACTTGATATCTTGGTTTTATTGCCACCACTTGCGCTATTGAATGTTGCCGGGGTTTGGGCGCGGTCTTGCCGGGGTGTGACTGGCGGTGATCATTCTGACTCGGTTTCCATATTTCTCCCATTGACCCAAAACAATAGGTCAAGACCACGTGAACGACATAATCTCAGGTGACCGGAATGGAATATCCGAGACATGCCAGTTGCCACTTTCTGATAGTTTATCTCCTTGTGAAAGACCGTTCCCCGTGCGTCGACGAGTGGATGCAACGCCGATTGGTCGGCACTATATACATGGTTGTTGCACCAGACACTTGAACTGGACACATTGCCCAGAAAGACTGGAGAGAGCGCAGGCCCTTCAAAGAGCAGGCGCACTGACGTCAGCAGTAGCGATAAGCTCGTCTGATGATAGGAGCATCGTCTACTCATCTCGTAAGCGTG